TTCACTCCCTTCCCTGGCCAGCCTGTTCCAATGGTTGACAACCCTTTCAGTGAAGAAATTTTTCCAAATATCCAATCTGAACCTCCTCTGGTGCAACTTGAGGCCATTTACTCTTGTCCTATGGCTTGTTACTTGGGAGAAGAGAGCAACCCACCCCCACCTCACTACAACCTCCATTCAAGTAGTTGTAGAGAGCAACAAGGTTTCCCCTCAGCCTCCTTTTCTCCAGGCTAAACAACCCCAGTTCCCTCAGCCACTCCTCATAAGACTTGTGCTCTAGACCCCTCACCAGCTTCATTGCCCTTCTCTGGACATACTCCAGGACCTCAATGTCTGTCTTGGAGTGACGGGCCCAAAACTGAAAAGAGTATTCGAGGTAGGGCCTCACCAGAGCTGAGAACAGGGGGACAATCGCCTCCCTAGTCCTGCTGGCCACACTATTTCTGATACAAGCCAGGATGCTATTGGTTTTCTTGGCCACCTGGGCACACTGCTGGCTCATATTCAGCCAGCTGTCAACCAACACCCCCAGTTACAAATCTTCTCGGCAGCGTTCCAGCCACTCTTCCAAGCCTGTAGCGCTGCACGGACTCGCTGCCACAAAACGCCTGGACCCAGCTAAGCACCGGCAGTCCTTCTAGGCAGCCCACCCGTACCTGTGCCAGCTCCAAGGCTTCAAGGAAGCAATCCGGAAGGCAGCAAGAAGTTTAATCGCTGCCCACACAGGTGGAGAACAGCCTGCCGGCAGACTTGTGAGCAGCTGGATGTAGGACAACAAGAAGCACCCACCGTAGCGCTGTTTGTCTTCAGAGAGCACCTGAATGCTGAATCACTATTGGCCCACATGGGATATGTATTTGATGGAGGAAGTGGGGGTGAGTAAGGTGATACCGCATTTGTGCACATACGTGGTTGTATTTTTTGCTGCAATATCTTTGCCAGAGAAGGGAAAGCAACTGCTGTATGAGGACACACGACAAGTTGCTGCTTATTAATGGTTTCCTTAAGATCGGCTGCAAGGTAGCATCCTAGAGAACCTACAAGCTAGACAATCAAATGTCAGGGAGGAAAACAGACTCTCCCAGGCGACTTCAACCATCAAGTAATAAGTATATCTGAAGTTAGCTACTTGCATGATCATCTTTTTTCCACTTCTGAGTTCCCCCTGCCAAATACATCTTTCTCTAAAGACTGCCTCCAAAAAACAACTATAGTGCTGAACTCTTGATTCTGTATTTGGTGCATTGACACACACTCACTAGGGACTAATGGAAGAGAATTTGGTTCTGCAAATTGCTCAGATGCTTGAACATTAGCTACCTGCTGCCCAGGGGGACACTGCTAAATAAGCCACTCCTTGTGAATAAGCAGTCTTTCTGTGTGCAGAAGGGATGCCCCACTTTATGAGAAGTGGGTCAGGTTTGAGTGTATGAAACAATGGCAGTCTGCTTGAGGGAAGATAAGCTTTCCATTTATCCTCTTCATTTTCTTTCAAAAAGCCAAGATTGGGTTTGGGCTCCACCAAGAATGGCACAAACCTTTCCGTAGAAAGGGTAAAACAATCCCAAGTTGACTTTGAATGCCCAAGTAAGATCACGGTCTGGTACGTAAATCCCATGGAGTTTCTAAGCCTTCACATGCAGTGTTACTTTCTCATGCTGTGGCTTTCATGCATGTTCTCTGACCATGCCACAAGTGTAATTTTTACTTTGGTTTGTTTCATGAGATGGGCTTGCATAGTTCTTTGCTTCCCACACATGGAAGAGTTTCTGCAACAAGAAGAAATGCAAAACTTTGGTACTATGTGCACTGTTTGAGTGGTACCTGTTTCATCTAGAATGACTAGAAAAAAATGCTTTGAATAAAAAGTGGAATGTATAGGGGGGCACGTGTTATTCAGATTTGCCAACTTTTGATTTCTGAAAAAAGTTCCAATATCAAAATATTATTGCTGATAACAGATTTTAAGGTCTGTTTCAGCCACTACAGCACAAATTTCATTTTGAGTAAGGTGCCTAAGTCTTGCTAGGATGTAGTTTCATTCTTTGTACAGTAAATAAAGACTTTTCTGTTCCTCACCAAGTTTAGTATTTTCTGGTAAAATATGTGTCCAAAAATATTTTAATAACAAGGCATATTTTTAAAATAATCTCATAGATCAGAGGTAAGAAAACAGGCTGTTCTGTAAGGGAACAGCAATCTGTTCTTACAAAGACTTTAAGCACCCCCAGATCCGCAATGCAAAAGATCCAAGTAGTGCAACAAATTATCTTCATTTTCAGAGTGCTTAGCTAAATAACTGTACCAGGCATTTGTTACACATCACTACTTGTATACTCAAAAAATGATTGAATATTTTGGTTCTACATAGTCTGCATAATACAAGAGAACAATTTCAGGTTTTGTTTTTAAGATCAGAATCACAAAGAAGTGTGAGGCAATAGAAGGTCTAAGAGGCTAATTGATTAACATGCTTAATGTATTACATTGAGTAAGATTTGTAATAACTAATGATTTCTTGATCCATCAGAAAATATATAGCAGCACACAACAGTTGGAACCTACCACAAGAGGAATTCAGTCTAGAAATGGGTGTATTTTGTTTGAGCTATGGGGACAACTCGCTGCCTTAAGTCAGTCAAGCTCCCGCTACTGTCATTGTGATTCCACTATACCAGGAGCCAGGCCATAATGCTTTCCTCTTCCACAAATATGTATTGATTTAGCAGCAAAATTCATTGTATGTTCCAACTTAAAGGGAAAATTATTCCCATTTTGGTTTCTTCTCTCATCGTGATGTGAAAGCAGTAACGGGAATGAAGATTATCGTATTTTATTTAATACAGATTATAAAAGCCTGCTTTGTGGTCTGAGTACATTCAACCATTCATTTAATTAGTTCACATCCTTCATTGTTGCAAGTTCACATGATGAATTTTGTAATTTAACCACTTGTTCAGCTAAGAAATAATTAAGCCAGTTTTGAGACTCAGAATCAAAGAGAAAACACACAAAACTTAACACTCACTTAGGCCCAATTCTGTACTAACACAGATAGAACTGCCATAAATTTTGGTCCGAGTTCCTTCTTAGCAGGAACTGCAGATCCCTATATGCCTCACTAGTTCTTCAGATAAACATGAAAGATGACTTCTTGCCAGTGACATCTGGTAGATTAGGACCTGAATGTCTGAAAAATGCTATGTACTAAATAGTGGGGAGAAATATACCAGTATAAATTGACATAAAATATATTGTAGGAACCAATCACATCCAAAACTTTCAATGCTGAGCATGTTAATCAATCTTTGTTGAGACTGTACTTCTTTATAAAACACATAATTAAAAGATTTATCTATCTAAGCCTGAAGAACAGCATTTTATTTCTAGCTCCTAGGAATTTATGCAACTTGGTTCTAGTTTACATTCAGCATTAGATTTACAACTATCTGAGGCTAGAATTACGAGCAAATGGAAGTCAGAACTGTCTACAATAATTCACATAAAAAATTGCAAATAACAATAGAAATATAAGGATTAAAATAACTAAAGTTTCTTGATTTTTTCCACTTTCTTTGCCATACGTTAAAAATTACGATCATTATTCTACTTTTTATTAACATTAATTGCTTTATAAATAACAAATGCATATTAAACTTTAAGGTGGTTATGGGTAGACCTAGAGCCCATTGTACTTTACTAACTATTCTGGTTTCACTGTTAAGAAAATGAAAACTTACTGTAACCAATGGTGGCCAAATTATAAATTGGATGATGATGAGCGATGGCTGAAAAATGGGACCTGGGGGGAGTTCAAGGCAAAGGGCAGAAGGGAAATGGAACCTTCAGCCCCGTTTCCGGGAGGACTCGGGCACACTCCCAACCGGCAATGCCGGCGCCCTTGAGACAAGCGCTAGGGGTAGGGCTATGCCAGTTTTTATCCATGTCCCCTTTACTACCTCTGACCTCTGAACAGAGGCCAGAGCTGAGCAAGACC